CAGGGAGTTGAAGGAGCTTCCTTGTGTTAGGTCACAGGGACAGAAAGTCGTGGTCACTCACTCACTGACACATAACCCAGGACAGCTGCACCCTTTCTGGGGACCCACGTCACCCCCAAGTTCAGCGTTATGACGTTCAGAGCAGACCCCCGCCCTCCCCAGAACGTGCTCCAAGCTGTGGTTCCCTGATGCCTGCCTCCTCCAGACAGCTTCTCGCGTCCAGCGTCCTGCGTTTGGGAAGCAGGGGCTGCCACTCGGGGTTTCTGGTGCAGCCCAACTGTTGGGAACATCAGCTGCCCTTCCTAGTGCCCCATCCAGGGGGCAGGGGGAGATGGAGCCGTAAAGACCCCCGCTGGGAACCAAGAAGGCTGCCTCCACCTCCCGGTGGTCTCTCCGCTCTCGCTTCTCCGACAGAGCGGGGGTCCGGATTAAAAGGCGGCCTCTTTTCAGGGTGGCGAGGTTAGAACCACTGGGCCCTCTCCTGTCAACGTGCATTTCCATGGACGCGGGGACATTCCCACCACCTTTCCACACCGCCCGTCATGCGCGCTTCATTAGCCCGGGCCCAGCAAGCCAGGGACAGCTGAACAAAGGGGCCTGGGTCAGCGGCTCTCTGACGCAGCAGACCCCAGGCCCCAGCCGGGCCTGGGAGGGACGCGGGCCGGGCTCGTCTCGGGCCGGCTGCAGGCTTCAGCAACTCTGCATTCTGTGCCTCACTTTCCCCACTCATAAAGGAGGGGTTCTCCCCGGCCAATCTCTGAGGAACATTTGGGCTCTGCTTTTCTAGAGACAGAAAGCCAGGACCAACTAGAGACACAGCACAGTTAACGCAGGCTGGGGGAGGGGGCACCCCAGGGCTGAGGCCACACACGCGCAGATTTTCCTGTTAAAGAGACCCCCACCCTCATGGAGGGGAGATGGTAAGCAATCGATAAGGAAAAGCCTGACCGCCTTGCTGATAGCCTACCCCCAGCCCAGGAGGCGTGCCTTGGGAGCCAGGCCGGGAGCAAGGCAATGTGATGAGGATTCATCATTATGAGAAGGAAGGCGGGGGGGGGTGGCCAGCAAAGCATGAGCACGCGGAGCCTCTGCGGCCTGTCCCTCATCCTCCCCTCCCGGCTCTGCTGTCACCCGGAATCTGAAATTTAGACTAAAGAGCTGGAGACCACCCTATCTGTCCCAGAGGCTAAGCCCGCCTTTCCCCGAGGAGAAGGCTGCTGGCGTAGGGGCTGGGGGTCTCCACCCCAGGAAGCAGCTAGGCTGGGACAGCCTCAAAGAGCCGAAGAAAGGGGTGAAGGGAGAGGGCCCTCAATTATCCCCAGAACTATTTCTTCTGGATCCAGTGTCCCAAGCCCAGAGGCTTTGTCAACCCCGTGGGGAGGGGCCCTTCATCTGGAAGTCCTGGGCGTAGATGTCAGGCTGGGAGAGCTCCGGGCTGAAAGCCCTCGTCCCCGATGGTGACATCTCAGGGCTCTGCAATGAGCTGGAGCTACTGCGAGGATGGGGGGTGCACTGCAGAGGGGGAGCAGCGCTGCAGGCTCCTGCATGAGTCAGCTGCGGGTGACGCCCTGCACCATGCCGGGGAGGGGGTTTTAAGGACCCGAGACAATGGGGGGGCGCTCGATGTTGAACGCCCGCCGCCCTTAGGTCTCCTTAAAGGAGGCTGTTAGAAAAAGCCCAGATGAGGATGAACCCATTTCTGAGGCTGGGGAAGGGGGCGGTTAGCTGGCTTTTCTCTTGACTTCTGCGCCTCTGAGTGGACCCACTTGCTTCTCCAAGCCTCAGTTTCCCCACAGGCACCACTCGTCTCTGCTGGGGTTGGGGACCTAAGGACCGAGGCCCTGCAGCACTGCCTAGGCTGCTGGAGCTTTTCCGAGGACTTCGGTCTGCCTGGGCCTCCGGGCAGGTTTTGCCGAATGAGAATGGGCTCAGACTAACGTTTGCTGCCTGCAAACGCAGCCACGGCCAACTCTCAATCGCTCAGGGTAATGAAAGACAAAGATTGCATAAATTAATGAAATCAACTGATAACACCAATCTGCGCTTTAACCACTTCTCAGCCTTTCCCAGCTCCCCGCCCCCCTACACCTGAGCTCTTCAGTCACCATCACTGTCCCCAGCCCCGGCGGCCCTGGGTGACTCAGCTCCTGCTGCCCACCACTCAGCACTGACTGCCCCCCCACCCCCTATTTGTTGTTTGTTTGCTGGCTGCAGCCTCCTTCACAGCATGTGCATCTGCTGGAGTCTTAGCTCTGCGACAACCCCCCTCTCCGCCCCCCAGTCCTTACCCCTCCCTGGCTTCAGTGACCTGGACAGGTATCCCGGGCCCGTGGTCCCCACCCTCTCAGCTTTGTGTGCCATGTGTTTACTTTGTGACTCTTTATTCAACAGGCATCTCCCCGCCACTGTCACCCCAGTGTGTTCTCCGGGTGCTGGGTGCCGGCAGCGCAGAGGGGAGCAAAATTATGTCCCTGCCTGTGAGGAGGCTCCTGCCACCGTCGGGAAGTGCGCACACAGAGCAGAGGGTACGCAGTTGGAATTCAGTGAAAGGGGGAGGG